AGTAGGCATTAATGTTTTTCCACAACTGATCTAGTTTAGACTTCATTCTCTCCTCCCTCTTCCACCTTCTTTTTTTCTCTTTTCATACTCTAGTATTGGTTCTAATAATTGGTTGCTTTTCAAAAAAATCTAAAAGAGCTTTCTAACATTCACATTGATACTGGTGAGACATACAAGAAATGATGCTGAAGAAGCAATGTGGGGTCACACTGTCATAAGCTTTGGGGGCCAGGCAGAAGAAAAGAGAGGACACTTAACACTGAACTGAACCCTGCAGAGTGACAAGTGATGCCTGCATGTTACCAGAATCCCCTTGATGTCAGTGCTAAGGAAGGGAATGCTATTCCATTCATTAGTGGGCACCATCTTGTTCCTCTTCTCATTCACAAATTCCCCAGAGAAGGGGCAGGAGGTGGGAAAAAGGGAGACAAAAGAAAAGGAAAAAGGACAAAAGAGAGACTAGAGGAGGGTAAGAAGGAAAAAAGAAAAAGACATTTGGTATCTACTAGACATTTAACCCTCTATCAGCAAGGAGTAAAAAACAATAATCTTTTCAATTTTTACTTCAGTATATATACACACATGCATACACATATATAAACATGTTAGATATTTATATCTACACATATAATCAATTCAGGGACAAAGGAAAAGTCAACAAGCAGTGAGCATCTCATCATTTATTTAAGCAATGTCTGGCTCTCTCCTCTAGACCATAAAATCATTAGGGTTCACATTATATCTACATTACTGACCATGGAATCTCCAGGTTTAATCTAATGCAAGGCACAGAATAATCTCTTAAAAAATAATTTATTGAGTTGTTTTTCGAGGAAAAACAAAGAGTTACTCCAAGCAAAACCCTGAGGATTATTTAGCATCCCAAAAGAATCACTGGTAGGAAGGTTGCAGAGAGCTTATGTTTTCCCCAGTCCTTCATCTCCACCCCAAGAGCAAGAAGGGGTGAAGGGGTCACCTTCAGAGCTGCAGAGCTTGATTTACCCATAGTTACTCTGAGGTGAGATCTTGTTTCTGGAATTTTATGGACTGTTGTACTCATGTACTGGAAGGTTATCAAAAAGATATGGAATGAAGCCTCCTTTGTTGTTCTATTTGCCTATCTGGTTAGCCTGTTCAGAACAATTAACAATGGCTCACTCACATGTCCAATTTTGCTGTGAGTTCTTTCTAAAGTGCTTACTTATTCTGTGTGTCCCCAGTGTGATGGTTTTTGGAGGTAGGACCTTTGGGAGGTGCTTAGGTCATAAGGGTGGAACACTCATGAATGGGATTAGAGCCCTTATAAAAGAAATCCCACAGAACTCCCGCACTTCCTTCTGTCATGTGAGAACACAGCAATAAGACATCTACGAACTAGGAAGTAGGCTCTCACCAGACACCAAATCTGCCAGCACCTTGATTTTGGACTTCCCAGTCTCCAGAATTGTAAGAAATAAATGTTTGTGGTTTAACCAACCCAGTCTGTGGTGATTTATTACAGCAGAATTAACAGACTAAGAGAGCAGACCCTCAGTTTAGAACCATATATAAAGATAGGCAAATAGAACAATAAAGGAGGCTTCATTCCATATCTTTTTGATAACCTTCCAGTACATGAGTACAACTCTCCGGCATTGCTCTTAGTAATATTTGTTTCCGATATATCTCCTTGGACAAGGGAAACAAATGAAAAAAAACAAACAAATGAGACTACACCAAACTAAAAAGTGTTTGCACAGTAAAGGAAACCATCAACAAAACAAAAAGACCACCTACTAAATGGGAGAAGATATTGGCCTATGATACATCTGGTAAGGGATTAATATCCAAAATTTATAAAGAACTCAACACCAAAAAAGCAAATAATCCAATTAAAAAATGGGCAAAGGACCTGACTAGGCATCTCTTTGAAGAGGATAGACAGGTGGCCCATAGATATATGAAAAGATGCTCAAGGTCACTAATCATCAGAGAAATGCAAATTAAAACCACAATGAGATAACACTTCATACCTCTCAGAATGGCTACCATCAATAAATCAAAAAACTACAAGTTTGGTGAGGATGTAGAGAAAAGGGAATCATCGTGCCCTGTTGGTAGGACTGCAAATTGGTACAGCCACTATGGAAAACAGTTGGAAGGTTCCTTGAAAAAATTATGGCCAACAATTCCACTTCTGGGTAGTTATCCAAAGAAAAGCAAAACACTAATTTGGAAAGATCTCTATACCCCTATGTTCATTAAAGCACTATTTACAGTAGCCAAGATATGGAAGCAACCTAAGTGCCCATCAATAGATGACTGAATAAAGAAGGAATTATACATATATGGAATGGAATATACTCAGCCATAAAAAAGAATGAAATCTTATCATTTGCAACAACATGGTTGGACCTAGAGGGTATTATGCTAAGTGAAATAAGTCAGACAGAGAAAGACAAATACCATATGATCTCACTTATATGGGGAATCTAAGAACAGAATAAACAAAACAGAAACAGCCTCATTGGTACAGAGAACAAACTGATGGTTGCTAGATGGGAAAGGTGTTGCGGGGGGGCCGGGTGCTGGATGAAAAAAGTGAAGAGATCAAGAAGTACAAATTGGCAGTTACAAAATACTCATAGTAATGTAAAGTACAGCACAGAGAATATAGTCAATAATCTTGTAATAACTACATGGTTCCGGGTGGGTACTAGACTTAATTGGGGGGAATTACTTAAGTTATGTAAATCTCTAACCACTATGCTGTACACCTGAAACTAATATAATATTGACAACTAAAATTTAAAATTAAATAAAATTTTTATAAAAAGATTTGGATATTCCAGAATTTATAATAAATAAAATATTGTAGAATAAAAAAAAAATTGAAATGCCAGTTAGACATCTATATTAGTCAGAGTTCTGTAGAGAATAGATGACATACTCGATTTAATTAGGAAAAAAAAAAAGTAATCCTTGAGTACAAAGTGGACCCAAGATGAACTACCAGTAATGTCTGTCTTTGCAACCACCTCCCCTTACTCAAAACTGCAATCTAATGAATGGATCTTTAGTAAATGACAGCTGGTAGAGATGGAAATAAAAAAAAAAAATTGCTCCAAAGGTTATGGTTTTATTATCGGGTAGGACTTTAACCAGTTTTGTATCAAACCTTAAAATCTATTCCAGCATTCTTTTTTACACTGACTCTATAAACCAGTCTTTTAAATTCTTTGTTATCATCCTTCCAGTTCCCTAGTTAATAAGTAAATCTTTGATACATGCACCTTCTGTATTTTTTAAAATTATACTTTGATAAAGATAGCTAATTTCCCACACCCTGCTTTTCTGTGTAAAATATCATAGGCATGAGCCTGAGAAGAGTTTAATTGTATTATGAAAGGTTTCACAATCCAAATCTGCTCACCAGTAAGGGACTTTATAAAAATTCCTTTGAAAGATGTTTCATCTTCTGGAGCCCAGTTAATCTTCCAGTATCTACAGTTTCTGATTTCTGTGATGTCCACTACCTCCGAGGGGCACCTAACTCAGCTTGGGAGATTGTCAGTCTTTGAGAGACTCAGCGCAGGCTACTGACCATCACCTTGGAATTTCCGAAGAAATATTTAGAATAAGTCCAAATTGTTCTACCTGGCCTGCAATCTTACCTCCAACTACACCATTACCAGATCTGCCTGATGAAGCACAAATAATAATGGGCAATCAGCACGAATTAATAAATTTTTGGGGACTTCGACTCAGGACTGAATTAAATCAGGACTCTGATCACTTGCAAGTCGGGTCTTCGGGTCTTTGGTAAGGTCACCTAATTAAGATTTCTGGTTCTCATTTTCCACTTCAGCAAGCTGGGGTAACGGCCTATCATTCCCTCCCATCCGCTCACCCAAGCCCAGCCCCCGCGTGCCGGTGCCGCCCCGCCCCGCCCCGGCTTCCAGCAAACGATCGCGTCAGAGTTCCTGCTCACTTCTTGGTCACTCTCTGCCCTCGGCCCCGCCCCGATCTCGCCCAACCTATCGCGCTCTGGCCCCGCCCCGATCTTGCCCGAACCTACAGCATCCCTCGACCCGTCCTTCGTCATCACCTTCTCCTCTTAGTTTGCCTTTCGCCCTTCACGCTGGAGTCGCCGCCATGGCCCAGAGACTGGCAAAGCACTGGTGTCTGAGTGCCATCAGGAGGTAAGTGCTCAGCTCCATATCCAACGTCTCCAGCTCGATGCTGCGGTCCTTGCGGGAGCCGCCGCCCTCTCTGTTATCCTGTCTCCGTATCAACAAGGTTGTGCTTTTTGAGATTTTTTAAGGCGTGACATCAATCCTTCTGAAATGCGCGCCTTCCTTGTCTGGGCCAGCAGCGATCAAGAGGGACGCGTCCTGAAGCCTGTGCTGCCCTTCTCGCCCCGCAAGTCCCCAGGAGGCCTTTCGCATCGGCGCTCTGGGCGGGTGTGCGTTTCCCATGGCCCCGGGCTTGAGCGCAGTCAGATGACTGCCCTAGGTTGGAAATGTTCTTTGCTAAAGATAGAACATTTAAGCATGCCTTGCTTATTTGCGAACGCTATTGAAACGCAAGAAACGCAAGCAGTTATCATCATGTCAGGTTAAACTGCTTTTTAGAAAATACTTCTGCTGTAATGTTAAATGGCGGGGTACACAAACCGTGTAAGAACCGAAAACGAATCTATGCGTAGGAAACAAGAAACCGCTGGAACATGGTGGTTTGCCTTGAAGTGGTGGAGTTATGAGTGACTTTCCCGATTTTATATATTAAACGGTCATCGTTGTAATTTTTTAAAAACTCACTTTATTTTAAAATAAATAAGTATGCACCATATTTTGTGAGAACTTGCACATTTAGGCCTTCCTTTCATTTTCTACTTGAAACTTGCCATGTGCCAAATTCATGTAGGATGCAGAGTTTTTCCGGAAAAAACAAACAAACAAAAAACAAACAAACATTCAATTACTTAGTATAAAACTTATTGAAGACCAATTTTATTGAATTACACACTAATATTTCAAGGTTTGAACCTAGAGTTCATCATACTTTACGAAAGTTATATTATTGCAAAGAAGGTGATACATTTGCTAGGTTTGGGCTTTAATTATAACTATTATTTTAATCATCTTTGATGCCATTAACTTTATTAATCAGTATCATCATTGTGAGCATCCATTTTTTTGCTTATGACCTGTGCACTGAATTTCCCCTCCCCTCTGCTAACTGTATGAGCTTAAAAACTTACCTGTTTGCTGTTTTCTGCTCCTGCTTGCTGTTTTCTGCTCCTGGTTGGCTGGTTAAAACATAGTGGAGTGAGGAGTGAGTCGTTGTCTACTCAGCTGGGCTTCACAAACTAGCTTCTTCAAGAGGTGGATTTCCCCCCAGGCAGATATCTCCACCTCACTAAGAAAGAAGTGGCTGTCTTGAATGCTAGCAACTGCTCATCTCTCCTTTTGAACATGTCTTATATCTTCATCCATTTTCCCTTTTCTGCCTGTGTGCATTTTGAGACATGCGTTTTCCTGAGTGAAGAAGAAAGGATTGATAATATTTTATACTTAGTTAATTAGTGACTATGGAAGCTGTTTCTGGATGGAGAGACACAAAAGACTACGTTCTTGCTGGGTACTTTACTGGTCTCAGTCTCCTGCTCTCATCTATCTTACATGCCTTTCACTTCTTGCCTGTGGCAAAATTTTCATATCTATTGGGCTCTGACTGCTTTTACATATACAGGCATACGTTGTTTTATTGCACTTTGTTTTATTGCACATCACAGAAAATGCATTTTTTACAAATTAAAAGCAAGAACCTCCACCAGCAGAAAGATTACAACTTGCTTTATTGTGATACTCACTTTATTGCGGTGATCTGGAACCAAACCTGTAGTATCTCTGAGGTATGCCTGTATTTAATTGGAATTGCTACAGATAACGTTCTGGATAGTAGCATCTTGTTCTTTTAAAATTTCTACAGTCAGCTTCTGTATTGATTTCTTATCTGGGGATCATTTTGGAAACCACTGACCATTTGCAGCCAACTTTCTGGGGCAAGTATATGGAAAATATAGAGAAACAGCATTTTGGTATATAAGAGTTGGGAACAATTAGAAATCAGTTTGCCTGTTTGTAGTCCACTGCAGGTCATTAGTTTCCCAGCACTTCAACTGCACGTGAGTGGAACAGCAATGAGAGCCGATCAGAAGGACTTTGAAAATGCAGTGACTCGGGTAAAGTTGTTGAAGGATCCAGGAAATGAAATGAAGCTAAAACTCTATGCATTGTATAAGCAGGTAAATACCTAAAGTCTGATATAATTTAGAAACATTTTGAGCAGATGGTTCCTCGTGTATAGATATGCTGAATGTTTTACTAAAATTCAGCGTTAGTATTTTCAGGGTTTGTTTTACTGCCTTTCCTCTCAAAAAATGTGTTAACTTAAAAATAAAAAGCCAAATTGAGGGGCAACAACTATTTATTTGAGATCACAGAATTGCAATTTGGGGTACAGATTCAGGCAGAAACCCAAATTGTGTTCTGATTACAGGATGAAGGCAAAGGTTTTTTATGAGAAAAGGAAGGGAAATTATTATATGAATAGAGGAAATAAATTTCTATTCGTGCTAACAAACAGTGATTCTTTAGCTATACATGACAGATTACTGATTCTATTTTCAGAAAAATATTCAAAATGACCAGTTCTTGTGATCAGGATGTCTACTTTCTTGTTAGTTTTACAATTGTTTGGAAGATGATATTGCTTTGTCCGAATCTAAAGTTTACTTATTTTGCCAGTTCAAACATTTCGAAGGTTCAAAGGGCAATACGTGCAAGCAGTTTCTCTTCAATGGCTGCCATGCTTCTATTTTAAAATGGATCTACTTATGTCAGCTTTTCATAGTTATATACCTGAGTGTTTGTATATTGGACTTTCAAATGCTATTAAGGCAAAAAGTAACCCATCAGTACCACTCGAGAGTAAGAGGCTTAAAGAATGTAACCAAATGTATAGACCTCATTTGGCTGCTGATTAGAATAAATCAACTGAAAAAATTGTTTTGAGAAAATTGAGGAAATTTGGTTTTGGACTGAGTATTAGATGATGGTAGGAACTGTTGTTAATGATGTCATGGTTATATAAGGAAATATTGATATTTTTTAAGAGTGCATACTAAATATATAGGGGTGAAATAGTATGGTATTCAGGATTCAGTAAAATAATTAAAGCGAAAAAAGAAAGGATGGGAGAAGCAAGTATGGCAAAATATGGTAGTTGTTGAATTTGAGTGATGAGTATTAGGAATTCATTATAATATTTCACTTTTGTGTATGTTTGAAAATTTTTATAACAAAATTTAGAAAACTTAAGTCTTTAAGTTGCAATGTCAGAGGACTACTTTGGGAAGTCAGCCCCTCTGGGCTCCTGTGTATCATCTGTTTTTCTCTTCCTGTGATTGGTCTGAGCTTATCTTACTTTCATATAGGTATGTATAGTAAAAAATTTAACTTTGCCTCAAAAGAGGCCTGGCCTTTGCCCTTGGCTTTTGGGCAAGGTTCCCTTAGATTGCCTATTATCTAAACCTTTGAAATGCCATATCTGATAGTGTCTTTGTTTGCCTGGAGAGTCTAACAGTGTGATATAGAGTGAGGCTTTGGTTATGTATTCAATCATGCCTACAAAATGGAGTCCCAAATGAAAAGTCTGAACACCCAGGCTTGATCCCTGGTGATGATGCTCTATGTATGTTGTCACACATCAATTCTGGGAGAGGACACTGTCCTAACTCTGCAGTGGGGACAGGAGTGGGGTACTTCCCCAGACTTCACCTTATGCTTTTTCTCCCTTGCTGATATTAATCTGTATCCTTTCCTGACAATAAACTGCACCTGTGAGTATAACAGCTTTCAGTGAGCTCTGTGAGTCATTCTAGCAGATTGCCTCCCAGCCTTGCAGTTGACATCAGAAGTAGAGGAATTCTTGTGGACTATATTGCCTCTTAATTTTTCAGGTATCTAATTCTTGCAGTCACTTTTGTTTCTTTGTCATTAGAAAGTCAGCCTCGTTTACTACTGCCTTTGTTTTTGAAAACCTGTTTCTTCCTTCCTGTTTTAGCTTATTATGAAATTAAAATTTTTTTAATGTGGTTATTAAGTGGAATTATAAATTACCATTTCTGAAAAGTAGTTGACTAGGATATTTTATTCATCTCAAAATACTCACTCTATCTACCCTCAAACAAGTCTAGTTGCTTTTTGCTTTCTACTCACATGTCCTTTGGTTCAGTTTTGTAAGGGCCAGTGGCTCCGACAGCCCTACCGTGCTCCTTCAGCTACAACTCTGTTGTTCAATTACCAGAAATCTACCACTAAATTAGTGGTAATTTTTTGTCCCTTTGATTGGGCTTTTAGACTATACTTTGAGTTTCCAAATGTTTGTTGGCTGGTTTGTTACCTTTAGAGATTGTTTGCTTGAGTGTTTTAATGGTATGTGGAAAATGTGGTCATTAATATAAAACTAATGAACTATTAGAATTTTTGAGAAGTGCCTTCCATAACATTTATCTTGCATTCTTTTCATATGCAGGCAATTATAATTTATTTTAGGGATTCAAGCTAATGGCACATTTTCTATTGTTTGTGCATTTTTAACAACAGCATCAAAGAGAAGGCAAGGGGAAAGTTTATATCAATTTATGTACCTTGTGGAAAGTATTTGGGAGGAAAGGCACATTCATGCTAGTTGTACATTTTATGGATCTTAAATATTAAGGCTCCAGTTTGCAGGACATTGGCAAATAATTGCTTCTTTCCTTTCACAGGCCACTGAAGGACCTTGTAATGTTCCCAAACCAGGTGTGTTTAACTTGATCAATAAGGCCAAATGGGATGCATGGAATGCTCTTGGAAGTCTACCCAAGGTAAATTTACTTGTTACTTTGCTTTTATTTTACTTGCTGTACTCCTAAAGGAAGTTGGGTACTTCTCATTATCAATCCATTATAGATGGAGCTTTCAAGAGCTTGATGGAACTCTATTGAATCAGAACCTCTATTCTTTCTTCATTGCAAAGTGCTATTTTTTAGCATAGCAGATTTCTTGAAATGCTTATTGGTTGACTATGGGCTGAAGTTATTTGTGATCTTCTTTTCAGGAAACTGCCAGGCAGAACTATGTGGATTTGGTGTCCAGTTTGAGTTCTTCGTCTGCATCCTCTAGCCAAGTGAAACCTGGAGCAGACAAGGAACAACAGGGAAGTGAAAACCTGGTGGTGACCTCTGAAAACGGCATCACAAAGATCATGTTGAACCGGCCCACCAAAAAGAATGCAATCACCACTCAGGTAGCATTACCTGCCCTAGGAGTTTGTTCTCCTTTTCTTTTCTTCCTTTGTCTCTTATACTTAAAAACTACAGTGTTTCAGCATCATTCTTATTTTCCTAATGTCTTGTTTGATTTGTGCAGGAAGATTAGTAATTGTGGCTACTTAATACAACAAAGTAGGGCATTCATCATTTAGAATTTGTAAGCTTCAGGCAGGTTCTACATGCCCAGAAGGCTTCCCAACTTTCCTAATGATGGAAGCACAGAGAAATTAATATAAATGGGACATACATTGATATGAGAGAATATGCATAGAAATTCTCTAAGGTTGGCATAGACCAGAAATATCCTCAAGTCGTTTAGACTTGAGAGTACTATTCTACCTACATGGAGCTTTATTTTTACAAGTAGAGGTAGAAAAGAGAGAAGGACTTCCTCATAAATAGATCATAACGCAGCTCTGCTTGAAATATGCTACTTCACAAGAGCAACTTTTGTCTTTGAATATGTCATTGAACTAGAATGATAATAAAAGTAAGCACTTCAGTCCTTTCCCCTTAAAAAAAATTATAGAGAATAAATTGGATGTGTAATGCTAAACTGGGAGTAAAATTTGAGAGGGCTATACCCTTTCATTGAGTTTATCATCTGTATTGTAGTAGAAAGAACATACTAATTTAAAATAGTCTTAAATAAGAATTCCATGAAGCTGAATATGTGCCATTCAACTAATAAAACATTTGGTTCTCAAAATGGTGTTTCTTTTTCCCCTGACTCATTTTTGTATTATCATGGTAATAATAATAGTAACACTAGCTACTCTTTACAGAGTACCTAATTTGTGCCAATACTTTCCACACAAAGCTTTGTTTAATTCTCACAAGGAACCTACTGTTGTTATTAGTTAACAATAAAATAATTAGATTAATAACTTGCTCAAATTCACATAACTAATAAGCAGGAAAACCTAACTTGAAACCCTGGTATATCCATCTCCTAATCCTGGCTCTTGCCAGTTACCCTGTCATGCTATGTTATCATAACTATAATAATAATGGAATGACATCCTCATTTCCTTCCTCGATGGAAATGATTTCACCTTTATTCATATATTTTGTAAAGTCCATACATTTTCTTTTTCATTGTCTGTGTATCTGTAAATATCAGCCCTCTTCATCATCCTGTCCCACATTGAAGTCTCATCAGTGGTAGAAACTGCACCTGTTTTGAGCGCATTAAAAGCTATAACAACTACACAGCCAAGATTTTCAGAAATGTTGCTGATTTAAAATATTGGGCTGATTGTCTTTGACTATTGTTACATTGTCTTGGAAATCCCAGCCTTTTAACACTCATGAACGCTTCCCAGACTGCCTGGGACACTAATGTTCTTTCTTGAGGTCCCAACTGAAAAACTACTTCTAGGAAATCTTTCTCTGGCCACCTCTCATCCTGCCCACCCTAGATAAGTATCAGCACCTCTTCTGACCTCTTTCTGCTTTGTACTTCCACTCATTTTAGAGCTATCCCCTGTATTAATTCCAAAAGCTCAAGGACTGTGTCTTATTTGTTCATTTTTGGAAAAAAAGTAGATATATCCCTCAGCATCTACTTTAGCACTAGGTACATAATGCAAGTAATTGTAAAATGAATTAAAACCTTTCAAGTGGATTGGGCAGCCTTTTTGGTTATGTAAATACAACCAACATAAATGTTTGGTATTTTGCAGAGAGTAGGCTTGCAGACTGACACTTAGTGAACGCACTGGGTGATGGTTATCATTTTCAGAGTTTCTTTCTTTTCCTTGTCTTTTCCCTTTCATTTAGATGTATCAGGAGATCATACTTGCACTCAAAGCTGCAAGCAAGGATGATTCGACCATAACTGTTTTAACAGGTAAGACATTTTCTTGGATTTCTTAATTAAATTTCTACTTGGAGGGATTTCCTACTAGATAGGAAAGTGAGTACATAAGCTTTAAGATCTTTTCCAATACTGAGATACTCAAATTCTTAAATATATGAAGAATATAACAGACACAAGATTGATATCTTTATCATGTTAAAAGCAAATGTAAATTGGTAGGAAAAAAAAAAAGTACTATTGATACTAAAATTGGATACTTACTAAAGGGAAAAGTCTTCTACAAGAAAGATAATCTTTGCAATATTAGTTGTAATTGTGAAAATGTAAAAACATCTACATGTGTTGTCATAATAGAATAATAAAACAAATTATAGAACATCCACTAAACTGTATATTGCACAAGCATTAAAAATTATAATTATAAAGACCAATAATAAAGTGTTTAAGATATAATTAAAAAGTTAATTATATTAGTATTGTGATTATAACTGGAAAATATGATGGATGCCCATGACATGGACTGATGAGAACATGGCAAATGAAAGTCATTGGATTTGGAAGGGGTACCATACATACTGGGCCTCAGGTCAGGACTTAGATCAACTTGAGCTTAAGTCTTGGCTTCACTCCTTCCTGTCTGTGGGTGATCTCTGCTTCCTGAATGGAAAGACAGTGTTTTACTAACCCCATTGAATGGCTGAGATGAGACATGAGATAAGGCAGGTAAGGGGCATGGCACACAGCAGACACTTGATAGAAGGTAGCTATTACTATTTGTTGGCATGGCAGAAGCAGAAGTGATTTTGGTTTCTTTTAATTTTCATTAAAATTTATAAAATAAATATTATCTAGAGATATCAGATAGTTTTTAGTTAAAAAAGGGGTTGGGGAGAGAAATCTAATAGCTACTTGAAGGAATGAATGAAAGGGACAAATTGAAGATGACTTTGGTATTTCATATGCCCAGGTAATTTAGGAGAATGTAGATAAGAAAAAAAAATAGTCTAGAAGTAGCATTGGTTTGATACAGAAGAAGAAAGTTTGATATTTTTAAAATTAACTATTTTTAATAAAAGTATAATATAGGCACATGGTTTTAAAACAATCCGAAGAATATGAAAGGTACGTAATAAAACTAAATCTTATTCTCCCTGGAACCCCAATCCTGCTCCCTAAAAAAATTCAGTTTTCCTTAATACCTTCCAGAAACTGTGTATATATATAAAAACATGTGTGTTTATTTCCCTCCACTTTTTTTAAAAAAAAAACAGAAAAGGATGCATGTAATGCACAGATATTATACCTATCTTCCTTTCTTAACTATCCTGAAAAATTGTTCTGTTGGTACATACACATCTAAGTTTTTCTCTTTAGTACTACAAAGTATTAAGTTTTTTTGGCTTCCATAGTTTATTGCATTATTCTGCTATTGATGAACATCTAGATTGTACTAGTCTCTTGCTATTAAAATAATGTTGCAATGAATATCCTTTGATGTATGTCTTTCAGCTAACATGCAAAATAATCTATAGGCTGTGTTCCTGAAAGTAAAATTGCTGAGTTTAATAACAATGATAATAATAGCTAATACATATAATACTTTCTGTTTGCCAAGCACTGTTCTAAGCACTTTAATTCTTTTTAAAATTTTTTAAAATTTCTTAATTTTTCTAAGCTTCCTCACAACAGCTCTATGAAGCTAGGCCCTGTTCTTATTCTTATTTTACAGATGAGAAAATTGAAAGATTAAGTTTTAATAAATAGTGCTTTTACTAGTTATTTTCTACATATTTTTTACTTTGGGTTTCTGTTTCCTCTTTGATCCAAGCATTGCATAAGTAATAGTTCCTTTAATTTCCAGAATATTTTTGGGGTTTTCATTTCTGTTATTAATTCCTAGCATTAGGTATTATAATCAGAGATCAGTTTTCTGATTTTATTTTTTTAGACTCTATTAGAATTTAGAGTATATTGCTGTCTATTGAAATCTCTATCTTGAAGATAAAGAATTGGAAAATGACCAATTTTGTATATCATCCAGAGGCACTTCAAAAGTAAGTTTATTATTTTTAAGGTATGGAGTTAAAAACACATCAGTTGGACTTATCTTTCTAGTTTATGTAATTTAGATTTCCCAATTTCTGTTCTTTCTTCTAAAGAATTTGTGTTGGACTAAAAAAAGTGAATTAAAGGCATCTATTACTAGTGTGTTTCTGTCAGTTTCCCTTTGTATTGAAAGAAGTTTTGCTTTAAAGCAAGTTTTTATCTCATTGACACTAAAAGATTTATGGTTAGGTCTTCATTGTGGAGTTCAACCTTTATTACAAAGTGGCCATCTTGTCTCATTTAATACTTTTTGCCTTGAAATCAACATTGTCAAATATTAATATCATAATATCTGCTTCAGTATTATTTGCACATTGTTGGGTTTTCTTCCTTTGATCCAGTCTGAGTTTTTCTTGTAAAGGTGCATTTATCTGTTTAGATTTATATATATGACAGATATGCTAGGTTTTAGTTCTGGCATCTTACATTCTTTCTATTTATAATGCTTCCTTTGATTGTTATTTTTTACTTCATGGTCTGTATTTTCTTTTGTGTGTATTTTATTTCTCGTAGTTTAGAAGTTTTGCACTACTAGTAAACATTTTTATAGCTTTACGTGATACACATCAACATCTCTATCTTATATTATTCTCTTTGGACAGTAGCTGTTGTTTTCCCCTATGAAAGGCAAAAAGTTAGCATGGATTTACTGACACACCTCTCTTTCAAGTGTATATATAGTCTGTTAAATAGAGCTCCATTATTTTCTAGCATTGAATTGTTGCTGGGGAGCAGTTTGAGGTTACCATTAATTTTGTTTTTAGCCTCTTTATAAGGTCATTTTTTTCCTAGATGACCATGGGACTTTCCCATTCTTTATCACTACTTCCTAGGCAATGCATATCTTTTTTAAACTGATTATTAAAGCCTTATTTTAAGTTTTCTTTGTTAATACCTCTGAATATTTTTGTTTCAGTTGATATGTTCTCTTTGAAAGGAATTCTAGTTATGGAAAACAAATATCTCATCTGCTGGGACTGTTATCTATTATTTTCTCTGAATTCTTAACTCTTTTGCCTTCCATTCATTTTGCTCAGTTGTCTCACTCTAGTCCAGTGCCGTGATTACATTTTTAGCAATGTCTCTTCTCCTCTTACTGCTCCTAGTGGCATCATTTCTTTAGTATGATTTTCTCTTTCATTTTTTCCTAAGTGTTCTCAGGTACCTTTTTATTTCTTTATATTGTCCATGACTTCTACTTTGAGTCCACAGGGACAGCTCAGCTCTTAATGTTTTATATGTATATTGAGGACCAGCATAAGAATTTGGTAAAGTTTATTGCTCAGAAAATTATTGAAAATACTATTTATGACACTGTTTGTTCCTGGTGGAAACATAGTAACAAATCTATTGTATAATAATACTGCTGAAATCAGATATAGCTCTTTGTTTCTCAGTACCCTAAATATAACTGTCTCAAGCCCTTCTACAAAACAAACATGTCCTTTGACTCTTTCCTTTGAAATGTTCCCTTGAACCCATTCCATTGTGATCTCTACCTTTTGCTTAGGTCTCCACTGACCTTTTTATCATTAAATCCAGGGACATGTTTCAAGCTTCATGTGACTTTCCCTCCTTAAAGCTCTGTCTTCCTTATGCTCCAGTGGCACAGCCTGTGCCTGGTTTTCCTCCTGCCTCTGGTTGCTCTCTCTCAGCTTCTTTGCAGATTCATCCTCAGGAACTCTCTGTGGCCATCAGATGGGAGAGTTCCTGAAGGTTTAGCTCTAGGCACTCTCCTTTTCTCATTCTGTGTTCACCCAGGACCTACTCATCCATGTCCATACTTCAACAAAAGTCTATATGCCAGTGATTTCCATGTTTGTATCTTCAGTCAGGATGTTCCACAGGGCTACAGACTGGTGTATCCACTGGGCACTTTCTTATGGGTGTCACCTCCCAGATCTGTCTCCCTGGATCTTTTTCAGTGTTCCAATACCTTATTATATAGACCAGAATCCTAATATTCATTAATGATGCTTGTCCCTCCTTCACCTCCCATGTCTAGTCTAATACCTTTTCATTTTATCATTATCTCTGGAATCAATCCTTTTTTATTTTCCTGTCTCCTCTGCACTAGTCCAAGCCACCATGGACGCTTGTCTCAACTGAAATACACCCATATGTAGTCTCTCTGATCCCCTTTCGCCCTCCTCTCTCCCTTGCCCACTCCAATCTCCTTGCTACATTCAATATAATCTTTTCCAAATGAAAATCTATTCCTCTCCTATTTAAGATTCTTCAGTGGCACCAAAGCAATTCAATGGAGAAAGAAGAATCTATTAACAAATGATACAAGCGCAACTAAATTTCCATATAGGCGAAAATGAACTTCAGTCCCATCTTACACCCTACACAAAAATTAATGTAAAAGCTATCGAAGCATAAAACCAGAAACATAAAGCTTCTAGAAGAAAACTGTCTTTGTGACCTTGGACAGGACAGAAAAGGCATCAACCATAAAATAAATAATTGATAAATTAGAATTTATTAAAACTTGAAATGTCTACTTATCAAAAGACAATAGTATTAAAATGAATATAAAGCCATAGACTGGGAAAAAGAATATTTGCCAAACATACATAAATCTGAGTAAGGACTAATATTCAGAATACATAAAGAACTTCTACAAATTAATAAGATGAACCACCAGATTTGAAAACTGGATAAAGACTTGGACACTTCATAAAAGAAGTAAAAAGGTACTCAGTATCAGTAGTCATCAAATAAATGCAAATTAAAACCACAATGAGATATTTCACCCACTAGAATAGCTAAAATCCAAAAACAATACCAAATATTGGTGATGGTGCAGAGCAACTGGAACTCTTAAGACATTTTTGATATGAGAATACTTTGGAGTAGTATTTGGCAACTTGTTAATAGAGTTACACATCAGCTCAGACACACCAGTCCATACCTGGCCAATTACTGAAGATAAATTAAAGGTAGGTCCACACACACACACACACACACACACACACACACACAAACTTGTACAAGAACAATTATGGTAGCCTATTTCACAGTAGCCAAAAACTGAAAACAAAATGACCATCAATAGATGGTTGAATAAACAAGTTGTTGACTATTCATACAATGGAATGCTACTCAGCAATAAAGAGGAATGAATAACTGATACACACAAGAACGTGGTGAATCTTAAAACCATAGTTCAGCAAAAGAAGACACACAAAAAAGTACATATTGTATGATTCCATTTAGATAAAGTTCTAAAACAGGTAAAACTAATCTATGGTGATTGAAGCCAGAAAGCCTCAGGACAGGGTGGGGGTGGTATTATATCTGAAAAGGAGCTTAAGGGAACTTTTCCTGGGGTGATGGAAATGTTTTATATTTTAGTTTTAGATAGTGATCACACAGGAATTTACAATTATCAAAAATCATTGAACCAAGTCTTTAAAACTGGTCATTTTGTATGTAAATTATAATTTTTTAAAGAAGAAAACACCTTCAATGGCCTTTTGAATGAAGGCAAAAGTTCTTAAGGGATCTAGAAGCCTTGCATGCTCTATTCTGCCTCTTCTCATCCTACATCAGCTTCTTCCCCCTGGCTTTTTCTGCTCTCCCACAGTGGCACTTCTTTGGACTCATCGTAAACACAAGGGTTACCCCCTCCACAGAAACTTTGCATACGCTGTCCCTCTGCATGAATATGCTTTCCGCACTTTTTTTTCTAGCTAACCTTTCCTGTCCTTCAGATCTCAGTTCAGTTGTTCCTTCCTTAGGAACGTCCCGACCTAAGGTCCCTAATTAGACCGAACCCCCTGTTACATACTTATATCATCATCGTGGACTTCTCCTTTGTATCATAGTTGCAATGCTATATTTATTTGTGTGTTTTTACATAAATGTTCAGCTTACTTACTAATCTGTAAATTAGGGCAAGAACCAGAGCTCGTTCACCAGTGTGTTGCCAGTGCTTGGCATAGAGCCTGGTACATAGTAGATACTCAATGATTATAGAATGAATGAATGGTGAGTTTGTTGATTTTATATACAGGAAATGGCGACTATTACTGTAGTGGGAATGATCTGTCTAACTTCACTGATGTTCTCTCAGGCGAGATAGAAGAGAAAGTGAAAAGTATTGCTATTTTACTGAGGTAAGAGTGACATTTGTCTTATCTTAGAGGGTTCATCTATATGCATCAAAGTGGTATTTAGTTGAACAAAAGTAAAATAAGTATTTCTTTGTGTCAGTATAATTAACTGTGACTTTGAACAGGCATATTTCTCCTAACTGCCTCTATCAATGGGTGGGCATTCATTCTATCACTTAAATTTGTGTTACCTGTTCATTTTGCTGCTCTACATGAGATTTGATTGGAAAGCATAAAAGTAAACTATAGTAAATAAAGTAAATAAAATTCTCTCATATTGAGGCAGATGAATTTAGCAAATTCTTAGCTGGCCAGAGGAATGCATGACTTTCATTATTGCTAGTAATAGGAGGTTTTGAATAGTCTCAAAAAACACAGGATGTGAAGGCTCCTCTCTTTCTATCTCGTTTATTCCTGTTTAGTCTCTGATTCCCACTGAGCTGTAATATTGCAGCATATGCTCAGTCAGCCATCTTAAAATCTAAGTATACAGCTGGTTTATAACCCTAACTGTCTAGAATACAAGGTTTGTACCAAAGTCAAACTATAGGACTCACTATAGGATTATAGGACTCATTCTGTGAGTTTTCATCAAGTGCCATTCAAATGGGTGTCCTGAATGAATCTGGTGTTACAGACCAGTGAGGTGGCAAGAAAGAGAGGTACTGCTGGGTGATGTGAAAACACTCAACCTGGGCAGAACAATTTGTTATTGTCTTGCCTTTACTTCAGTAATGCTGCTTTGGAACAGTTAAACATGCTTTTGTATTTCTGTAGAGATTTTGTAGACTGCTTTATAGATTTCCCTAAGCCTCTGATTGCAGTGGTAAATGGTCCAGCTGTGGGAATCTCCGTCACCCTTCTTGGTCTGTTCGATGCCGTGTATGCGTCTGACAGGGTAAGTTAGCTCCCAGAAGCTTATTAAGTAATGCAAATAAAAATGAGATCCTTTGAATTCTCCTTTGTCATTGCTAATAGTAAACAGATTACTTGTGGTTTGTGGTTGAATGGACTAAATTTAAATTTTTCCCAAAGAATTAATCTAACTAATTTGACTCATTTTATTTTGAAATTTTAACTTGAATTTTTTTAAACACCAATATTGTGAATATGTGTCAACTCTTTTGGTTCTGTATTTTAATCAAATTACATAACAGTGATTCAGTTTTCATATCACTCTGAAGTAGTCTTGAGACTTTGAAAGTTATTATGGGGGGAGGGGGAGAAAGGATGTTATCTTTGCAGATAATGCACATGAATTATTTGATACTTTTTTTCCAACTGAATGAATTCTGGAATTTAGAATTTTAGAATAAGAAGGGGATTTCAGGCATTATCTACTCTAACTTCCTCCTTTGCAGAAAAGAAAACTGAAGTTCAGAAAAGTTACTTGCCCAAAACACAATTCAGTCTTGTGTTCACCATTGAATTATATAGATTTTAATTTCTATTCTAACCACAGTAGTAATATGTCATAGTAGAAAAATTTTTGAAAAATACGGAAAAGTACAAAGAAAAAAGTTAAAAATTATTCCTTATCTTACCACTCAGAGATGATTAGTGCTAACATTTGGGTTATTTTTTGTCATTATAATCAGATATGATGGACATTTATCTTAGAACTTTTACCCTAGAACTTTTACTGTAGAGCTAATAACCATGTCTAGGGTTATCTGATTTTTAGAGTGACTTTTGCTTATGTGATGGTAAGATTTGTTGAACTACAATCTGGTGGGGAAATTTGTGGATTTTACCACTGAAGGGATTCCTAGTTGTGTTTGGTGATATTTTCCCCACTGATAGATAGTACCATACATTAGGGTCCTTAACTCTGGTTTATCTTTTACTAGATTCCATTTAACATATTGATCTAATTCTTATTAGTAATTCTGCCATAAAAATAACAAATGAAATTCTAGGTGCTATGGTGCCTAACCTTTATAGGTGAAAGTTTCTGCTCAAGGGCAGAAATCAATAGTTTTTGGTCCCGTTCGATGTGTTAAATGACCAACTAATTGACCTGCTTTAAACAAGGCTGGTTTGAGGAGTTCCTGACATGAATTTGGGGCTCTCAATCTTCACTACTCCGAGGACAAATATCATTATATTTCAATCTTGCCCTGATTCTCCCACTGTATTCAAAATGACTCATATACATCATTCTTTCAAAGATTTCTAGGACTTCCATCTTATGATATAAATTGGAATTAAAATTTAAATTAGAGAACATATATATATATATACACACACACATTTTTTTTAAGTGCTAAGAGAGTTGGCCTAAAGTAAAATATTTAACAAATTGTGACCTCTGCTAAGAGTTCACCCACCTGAATTAAAACAAGGTTCGATTTAAAATCAGGGAAAGACACAAAAGAATGAACCAGTGGTGAGGAATTTATTTTGTAGGATTTATCATTATTAGCTTCATGAATAAATATGATATTAAGTGTGAGTTAACATTTAACCCATGAAACCAAATTGTTCTTTATTATGGGCAATAGTTAATGCCTACTAGTTTCTCTTTCAGCAAATGGTGCATTTTCTCTGTGAATTAATAAAAAGGTAGAAATCATAAAAATAATAAATAATTGAATACTCACTATGTACTAGACACTTGATGCACATTGTAATATTCACTTAAAGCACACAATAGTCCTATAAGATAGGTACTCATCCCCATTTTACAGATGAGGAAACTGTAGCACAGAGAGGTTAAGAAACTCCGAGTCACTAAGTAGTCTGATGCCAGAACATCAGACTAAACCCTTGACTACATCTACTGCTCCATATCTGAAAATAAGCTAAGTGCTTACTTATAATAATGCTTATAAATAAGTTAAATGCTGCTTATTGTCAGTTTTGGATGTACCTGTTTGTGGCCCCTTTGCAATGGTTGTTGTTTTATTCCAGTTCACTGCTATGTTCCTTAGACTGTGACTTCTGAGTATATTTTCCTTGAATAAGCTTTCTTTTGGGAGAGGGAGGAGAAAAGATAGGTGACATTTAATTACTTTTTACCTTATATTTTTATTTTGATTTATATGCTGCATACATTACCTTCTTATATCTTCTAGTAATATTGATTAAAATAAAATACCATATCCGATTATGGAAGGAAATTATTCAGCAAGGAAATGAAGCCAAAATATTGTTTACATACTGTCAGTGATCATCCAGAAGCACACACAGGTAGTTTTGAAATGTATTTAAAAAGCTAAAAATGACTATATTTTAAATAATCAATATTGAAATAATTTCTAATATTTAAAGCTAATCAAAAAAATCTCTGGGACAAAATCAAGACAAATGACCGATTAAAGAAAGTTTCAACTCACATCATAAAGGCTACTCTCTCTAATTTTTTTAAAAATATGTCTAAAAAGTTGTAGGTTAACTTAATAGAAAAATGGGCAATGGTGAGGCATAAATAGCACACAGAAAATAAAGTATAAATGGCTCTTAAAAACATACAAAAAAGACACCCTTAAGAAAATGACTTGTAATCAGAGTATGTAAAGAACTCTTACAACTCAGTAATAAAAAGGTAAACAATCTAACTTGAAAATAGTGGGCAAAGTACTTGTAATAGTTACTTCACCAAAGAAGATAATACAAATGGCTAATACATGAAAAGATGCTCAACATTATGAATTGTTAGGGAAATATAAATTGAAACCACGGTGAGACAGCACTACACACCTACTAGAATGGCTCAAGTTAAAAAGACTGTTAACAACAAGGTTCAGCAAGGATGTGGAACAATTGGAACTCACACACTGCCGATAGGAATTTAAAATGGTACACCGCTCTGGAAAATAGTTAAGCAGCTTCTTGTAAAGTTAAAGCATATGTTTATCACACAACCGAGCAATTCCACCCCTAGGTATTTACCCAAGAAAATTAAAACATATGTTCTTGCAGAGGCATGCACACAAATGTTCATAACAACTTCAATTATAATAGCCAAAATATTGGAAATAACATCAGTGGCTTCAATTGATGAATGGAAAAACAAATTATGACACATCCATACAATGAAATGCTACTCAAAATAACAAGGAACAGACTACTAAAACATGCAACAACATGGTGACTCTCAAAAGCCCTATGCTGAGTAATATTCCATTGTATATATGAACCATAATTTCTTTATCCAATCATCTGTTGATGGACATTTCGGTTGCTTCCATATCTTGTCTATTGTAAATTGTGCTGCCATGAATATTGGAGTGCCTAGATCTTCATGAATTGTTTTGGTTTTTTTTGGATAAATACCCAGAAATGCAGTTGCTGGGTCAAAAGGTATAT